AGAGAACCGATGGCAGAATTTCCAGGCAGCTGGCATCAGAGAAATAAAAAGCTATAAAAGAAATAGTTTTCTTGTGAGAAACTCCATAGATAGCAGAAGAAGACTTCTGTTTCTCTACAAAGACTGATGAAAAGACTCTAACAAGAATTGGGACTGTTTTAAACAAAAGAGGTTTTTTGTCTCTATGTTGTCATGTGAACAAGGGAATGGTTGGGTAGTGAGGCAGAAAAGGGTTGTTCTGGAGGTTTTATTCTGGTTTCTTATTCTTGTAGTTTTTGTTAATAAACTTTCTTTATTCCTTTTAAGTTTTAAGCCTGTTTTGCTCTTGTTCTTATCTACATCTCGCAGCAAGAAATAAGTAAGTTTTCTAGTGATTTTTTAGTTACTGCTTTAAAACAACAACACCAGGTTTGTAGTAATAGATCAAAATGTAAAATTGTATATGGTGATACGAATAATAAAGGCATCAAGTTGTCATAATAGACTGATGTCTATTAACACTCAGAAGATGGTGTGTGGTGATCAATATATGGTTTTGTTGAAAGATAGTATTATTTCATTATTATGTTACATATACTGTTATTGTCATCATCACTTTGCCCTTGAGCTTGTGATGCTTGAAGGAAGGTTTTGCTGAAGGTCTGCTAACTGCGTAATTTTGAAATAGCAAGGCTGTGATGTATAGGAACTGCTGTTTCCCACAAAAGAAGTGGGTCTGGGCTATTTCTTTTCACTTAAGACTGTCATTCCTTCTCATCCCCCCATTTTGGGGAGGGATAGCATTTGTGGGGTCCAAGGAATTTCATGAATAGTGTGCTAGCCCATTCTAAGGAATAGGTGACCAGCTGAAGGGACCTAATCTGAATTGGAGTTTCCAGAAAGTATCCTGTGCAGGGCAGTGTGAACTGAAGCCTCTGGCTGGAGAGAAAGCCAAGAATTCACAAAGAGCTGCACTAGAGATAATGTCACTGCAGCTGTTGTGCAGGATCTGTTCCTCAGTAAGAGAGCATTGTTTACCTATCTGAAATAGCTTAAAAATGCTCTAATTTTTTTTAAAAAATTCTTCAGTTTATACTATATAAATAATCACCGATTGTGAGATTCAATCTCAAATGTCAAAAAGCTTTCTTACAGTTAGTTAAACTTAATTTATTTTTTCTGGTCCTGGTCTCATCTAGCATACACCTCTCATGTTTTCTTTGAATTTTCTTCAGCATTAGGAACTTAAAAAAGATCAAAAGTATACATAGATTTAGGAACACTGTGTAGCAATATTCTCTTGTGCTGAGCTGGATCTTATTTTTTGTCTGGGCCAGGAGTTCTGTGCAAATTGATTTAAAAGGCCTAGTTGTAGGATGTGGATTGTAGGATGATGCTGAGCTGGCAGTGCTCTTGCTCTGAAAAAGGCAGATGGGATGCCGATGCATCAGGTATTACAAATGCAGATAAAAAAGTATTGGTGTCACTGCAAACACTGCTACTCTGAAACAGAGTAAGAGATGTGATTCAAATCTTCTGTATTGAAAAACATTAATTGAAACTGTACTGGAAGCAGAGACATGTTGCCTCTAAAATGGCAGAAGAGTATGACCGGATGTTTGTCTCAAGTAGCTGTGGAATGGATGATGTGATTCTAATTTCTAGGGAAAAAAATTGATGAAAAAAATTAGATAAGCCTAAATAAAATATTGGCTTAAGATAAAATGTACACAGGTCATTGATAAAATTTGGTTTAGAGTCTAAAAGGTGTTCCTGAGTGTTACAGCCAGTAGATTCTGGGATAAAAGGAGTGTTCAGTGGAGGAAGGAATCAGACTGGATTTGGTAGCTTTGCGATAGGTCTGTGGTGGAGATTCGGGGCTGTTGGACCCCAAGGAGCTTTCGGAGTGTATTTTTAAGCAGTTAGTGCCCTCTAGTGAGAGTCTTAGGTAATAATCTTGGTCCTGGTTTTGTAGTATGTTAACAACTCTTAACAGTACTTTGGTGTGTTACCGAAATGAAAGTAGCTTTGGTATTAAAAATGCAGGAGGATGAGTGTATGAAGAAAGATCCTATGAATACAAGTCATGAAGTGGTTTGTATTGGGAGGGATCTTTAAAGGTTTATTATAAGTGTAACCACCTTCTCATGTGGATTGTGTCCTAAAATCTTAGGTACTTCTTTAGACGATCACTCAAGTTTTTGCAGTTCAGTGTAAAGCAGAAGATGTCAGCAAACTTGTGATTTCAGTCTTGACAACTGAAGAAGCACTGCATTACATACCTGTGGAACCAAGTGGCAGGATTAGAAGTACCAAACTCGTGGCAAAGGAGATGTTTCTGTTTTGAAATAAGCACATCATCTAAAAGCATAAATCAAGATAAAAATCGCTGCTTTCTTAGAAGTCAAAAAGTTACAGCTACTATTTTTTAAATATTTTTTTTCTAAAGGTTACAAAACCCCACTGGAAAAAAATCCTGGAGATGATAAAACAGATGAAGAGATGGAGGGGACACATTCAGAGGATGAAATGTTTGCTCAGAGAGGCCTTCGCAGAACTCAGAGTATGAAGTCTGTGAAAACTATTAAAGGCCGTAAAGAAGCAAGTATAATCCTGGTTAATTGAGTTTGTTCTTTCAGTGTATATTGGCATTATTCATAGTGCAGAAATTTATTTTTATTTTTAATATTGGAGAAGTTGTCAACAGTAACTGGGTTCCAGAATGCTAAATGGGAAAGAAAGCATGTGACAACAATATCTAAGTTTGGAGCTTTTGTAGTTTGATGTGTTTAGGGGAAATATATGTATGAAATTAATGAAGCAAGGAGCAAGGGAGAGGAGACGAAACAGACTCTGTATTTGAAATGCTAATTTTGGCACCACCAAGCCTAATTTCAGGAAGTGTTCGCCTTGAAAAGGGTATAAATAACAATAATATTATCTGTGTGTTGTGCACACTTAAACATCTGCTGCTTAATAGATAAAGAATATTCAGAATTTTTTTAATTGCCATAGACAAACAGCCTGACTCTTTGTGATCTACAAAGAGAAGATCCTAGTTAGCATCCTAGTGCATGCATCACAAAATTTAAAGATACTCTAGTATAAATCTCTGTGAAGTCTCATAAAAGTTTTTGGGTCATTCCAGGAAAACAATTGATACTTACTCTTCTTGCCTAATTCTGTTGAAACTTTATTTTATTCAGTCATAGGTAGATTCTCTTAGTGAAACCGGGTGTCCAAAGCACATTGGAAAACATTTGCTAAATAGGATTAGTGGGGAGCTGAATTATATTT